TGTATCCGTTCAACCATGGCATACCGCGATCAGCTGGAGAATGAAACGGGTATTCACGTTAAAACCCCGGATACAGTACCAACGGTTGAAATGGGAGCTGGGAAACCGACTTCCTCGTACAGTAGCTGGATTATGTAAATGGAAAGCATTATTTAGTGGTGTGGTGTGTTTTGGATATAAAAGCTTTACAACGAAAGATTTTTAACGAAAACTATGCCTTGGGACTATTACCAAGATGCATGATCACCAGACAGAGCACGACCGGACGTGGCGGCATGTACTGTAACGACGTGGTGAGGCTCAAAATCGTTTTAATATGACGTACTCCACCTCTCTTTATATGCATAAATCATGGATTTATTCTTTCTAAGACAGGAATATCCTTTGTACTTAACAGCTCTGGAAAACAAAGGAATATGGATCAACACCTTCAATGTATGTGAAATATATTCATATGTATATATATATATATATATAGTGTGTGTGTGTATACAAATTTGGAAAACAAATATTATGAAGTTCAAATAACTTTAAATTATATTGCATTTCATAATATTTTTAAGTACGGTTTTCTATGAACGTTTAGAACAAAGTAACTAGTTTTGATTCCAAAAAATATTTCAGGTTACATTAATGACGAGGGTAATTACCTTACCCACATATGGCCACAGACTGTGGCTGATAGTGGCACACGATCCCTTACCCCTGGCCCGGCATGGCCAGGTGGTTAGGGCGCTCGACTCGTAATCTGCGGGTCCCGAGTTCGAATCTCCGTCCCACCAAACATGTTCGCCGTTTCAGCCGTGGGGGCGTTATAATGTGACGGTCAATCCCACTATTCGTTGGTAAAAGAGTAGCCCAAGAGTTGGCGGTGGATGGTCGCCTTCCCTCTATGCTTACACTGCTAAATTATGGACGGCTAGCGCAGATAGCCCTTCTGTAGCTTTGCGCGAAATTCATAACAAACAAACGTACAAACCCTTACCCATTTATAAATTTTGAATTTCCGTTACTGCTTACTTACATTTCATTTTGATATTTGGAAGAGTTCTAATGGGATAGGACATCCAAATAGTTCTAAAGGGATAGGACATACAAATAGTTCTAAAGGAATAGGACATCCTCAACGCCTTCGGAAAGTATTTTATCAGATATCTTCCTTTAAAGTTATACCTCTTGTGTTTTTCTTTGAGAATTTGTAGTTTTATCGCTATTTTTACTGTGCATGATCCAATTCAATTTCTACTGATGTTTATTTATAACCTTAGAAACTTGATCAAATAAGAATTACACACAGGTAAATCTACATATTATAAAACAACCTTTTTAATTTCTTGGTTTCTCGTTCTTTCGTTCATTAGTTTCAAAATTATCTAACATTCACAGTAAACACTGGTATAAAATATCACCACATTCTACTAAACAACTATAATTGTTCTACTCCATAGCTTTGAAGGCTGGTCAACATATTGCATCAATATTGCCCGAGTGGCATGTATGCATGACGTCGCAGCAGAATTTTCAAACAATAATTTTTTTGCAGTGCAGTGAAAACATATTGATTCATTTAGACCTAATTACAAACAATTTGCTCAAATCCGTAATATGAATGTGAACATATCTTATGGCATAAGATTTCAGTTTCTCGATGTTTGCCGCAGAACTTTGCGGACGACAATTTTTTACAACATAGTGAAAACACTTTGATTCATTGATTAATTTTATGATGAAGTTAGACAAGCGTGTACTTTATACGTTTATTCGTATGATCATATGATGATAGGCTGTTATTGAAAATTAAACACTTTCTAACTATCACTGGTATATTTTTGATCCTTGAAATGATGTCAAAATCGTCAATGAAAAGACTAAATATACTACGTAAGAACGCTATTAATCGGATTTTAGTAAAACTGAAAACAAGAGGGGGTAGAATAAAACAATTATTGACTGGTGATTTTGGTAACAGATTATTTGTTGCTCTCAAGTCATTGGTGACTGATAATCAGTGACCCTGGACACTGCCACCAGTGAAATATCAGACCAAACCAAGCCTTTATACTTGAGGTATCGAAAATCAAACTGGTGTATTTACGTGTTTTACACTCACAAAAAAAAAAAAAAGAAACCTATCATTCTATAGGTATTTGAAGACCTTGTAGCAATCCGCCACAATTTAATTCTTCGTATTGTTATCCGACACTGGGCAGCTTGTACATAATTGAATAAGTAGAGTTGTTTAAACATTTGTTTAAAAGCAAGTTAATGCTTGGAATGGTCTATTCTTTCACTGGGGTGTATGTCTGTGAGCCAGACTAGTTTCGGAGAATTCCACTCATCATCTTGTCAAACAAATGTTTAAACAACTCTACTTATTCAATTA